GGGAGCAGGTTTCCCCCTCCCTCAGGAATGCAGCCAGCTCCAGTTCCCTAAAGAGACAGGCTGAGGGTGTGGTCCCCTGTGCCCTGGGCCCATCCTAACTGAATGGTCACAGCACAGAGATTTAAATCACAGTGTCACAGGGCAGAGATTCCTGGGGAGAAACCAAGGTGGCTTTCTGCCACAATGCTTTTCAATAAATGTTCTCACATGTTGAAGCAGAGGCAGTGACCTGCTGGAATTCCTGTGGAGGAAATCTGGTTTTCAGACTAATCTGAAGTTTCTGCTTGTTGAGTGACTGGGTCAAATTAGAGAAGAAAGCAAGAGTAGGAAATTGAGAATGTTCTTTGTTCAAGGCTGTTAGGCTAGGGACAGACATTCAAAAAGCCTGAGCCTGAATTGATTCAATCTTTTCAGGTTAGTCTACCCTGGCTAGGCTGAACCAGTTTGTAACTGGACAGACATTCTCTCTGGACAGAAAATTCAGGCACATGCCTGGAGTGGCTCAGGCTAGAAGCTGGGGGGGCATTACAGCAGCCCTCCCTTTTCTTCTGTGGAGAGCTGAGCTGAGGGGGGCATGGCCAGGCCCCGCCCGGCAGGACTGTCTCATTAGGGATGTGTGCCTGCACAGTCCCAAGCTTTTCCCCACTGGCTGCTCAAGGAGCAGGAGTGTTGCCAGCCCCCAGCCTTGGGCTAGCACTGAGGCAAGAGATGTGTGTGCAGTGCACGCATCGGTTGATGATATGGAGCTTTTCAATCTCCCTTCCTGCTTCCTCGTACTGTCTGCAGCAAACTGACAGGTGAGCAAGCCAGCAGAGGTGGTGGTGTTGGTGGTGGGGCTGATAACAGTCTTTATCACCCAATTAGCAAAACAATAACCACTCTCCACATTACTTCAAACTTCTTAAACAGTTTACTAGCTGACCTGTTAATTAGCTACAAACTCCCTAAGTGGTCACTGTTCTGTCTGCCTATCCCAGTGAAATTGCAGAAAGAGACACACACAGACACCTCTCGGCATTAGCTAGCAGTCCACATGCTGGCTATGGTCCCTGTTGTGGCTGAGAGGAGGCAGGGATCTTTGCTTAATCAGTGAGTGGGGCAGGGGGCAGGGCACAGTGAAGCCAGCAGACCCTGCTGTGCCTGCAAGTCTGTGTCAAGCTCCAGCCAGGGAGCAGAGGAGAGGGCCCAGCCCTGCTGTGGAGCAGTGAGCTCCGCCCAGCCCAGAGAGCATGCTGGGATGCTGGGGGACTCAGATTTAACTTAGACCAGCAAGGGGCCTGGGACAGACACTGCATAAACTGGTTTGAGACAAATCAGTTAAGTCTGCTACTACATACAACCAGGTTTATCTCAAACTGGTTTCAGCC